TAAATTTCCTCCGCTGTCGCAGATGGTACAGTCTTTGCCTGGCTTTATTAACCGGAGTTTGGATGTGTGAAGTCCAAGTCAGGTCCTTGGAGATGAACTGCTCACCCTCTCCACTGGGGTCCCACTGATCATCAGAGGAGAATAGGGCCGCTGCTGTCTCTTCCTGAAGTCCACAATCAGCTCTTTAGTTTTACTCACATTCATAGAGAGACAATTGTCCTGGCACCATGATGTGAGTTTCTCTACCTCATCCAAGTATGCGGCCTCATTGTTGTTTGAAATGAGACCCAGAACCACAGTATCATCAGCAAATTTGATGATAGATGTGGAGCTGTGGGAAGACACCCAGTCATGAGTGTAGAGAGAGTAGAGCAGAGGACTCAGGACACAGCCCTGTGGAGCTCCCACGTTCAGGGTGATTGAGTTGGAGGTGAACTGGTCTACTTTCACCACTTGAGGTCTACCAGTGATAAGTCATTCAGGCAAGAGGGGTTATTGTTCTTAGGTACAGGGATGATGACAGATTTTTTAAAGTGGGTGGGAACCACCGAGGTAGCAAGGGACTAATTAAAGATGGATGTAAAGAAACCAGCAAGCTGAGCAGCACAGGACCTCAGAACACGGCCAGAAATCCCATCAGGACCTGCTGCTTTCCTGACGTCCACTCGCTTTAGGGCCCTCCGAACCTTGTCCTCCGACACAGTGATTGCATGATTATCGCTGCTCTGTCTGCAGCTTCCTGACGCGCTGATCGGCAGAGTCGGCGCTGCCTCGATTGCATTCAAAGCGGCTGTAGAAAGAGTTTAACTCGTCAGCCAGCGACCGGTCTGCTCTCACAGCTGCAGAGGATTTATTTCCAAAGGCACAGATGGTTCTCAGTCCCTGTCACATGAGTCGAGAGTCATTTAGCTGGAAATGTGACTCTATTCGTTCCCTGTATCGGAGTTTGGCAGCTAGCACGATGCTTTGTACTCACTCATGTTCCCCGACGACAGACCGGAGTTATGCGGCAGTGCGTTTGTTTACTGCAGTACAGATTGTTCTGTCCACCCATGGTTTCTGATTTGAGAAGGTCCTTATGGTTATTGTATCGGTTGCTTGTTCAGTTAGCATGTTTACAAAGCTTAATGCTACATCCGTGAACTCGCTGACGTCAGATGAACTCGCTCGGAACATGTCCCAGT